GACCTGCTGGTTCAGGCAGTGGCGCTGCAGGTAGTGGCACAGGTGGGCGTCGCTCTTGTCGCTGGCCAGCTGGTACAGGTGGAGCAGGCTCTGGTTGATGCCCTTCTCCAGGCGCAAGGTGCACTGCATGGCCTGGAGGCCGCTCTCCCAGGCGTCGCGGTCTGGCTTCCTGATGTCGTGGAAGCAGAGGCGGCCCCCGCGCTGGTTCTGCAGGTGCATCAGGCTCTCGGCCCGCTCCCCCAGCTGCCGCGAGCGCCGCAGGAAGAAGCGGGCGAAGTGCTTCAAGGCCACGTCGTCGCGGTCGAAGTTGAAGGCCATGGCCAGGCACACGTAGGAGGCGTGGAGCTCCAGGGTGACGTGGCTGTTGATGGCGGCCTGGCAGTCGGGGTGGTAGTTCTGGCACACCTGTGAGGGCCCCGCGGGCATCATGGCTGGCGGCAGGGGCACCAAGGCCAGAATGAAGGCGACAATGAAGCGGAGGCCGCGAAGCGGGCAGCGGCGGGGGTGAAGGCGACGGCGGCCTCGGAGCGTCCCCAGGGCGGGCGATGAGGGCGGCCTGAGGCGGCGGTTGTCAGACCGGCAGACAGCTGGCTGGGTGTGAGCTCTGGGATGGACCGGAAATGATGGCCGTTAAGAGGGGTCGAGGGGGCGGGGCCAGAGGGTCCGTTACAGGAAGAGGGTGATGGGGGCGGGGCTTCCTGTTCTAGGCCTCGTAGGAGCCTGGGCGAAGCAGGAAACCCCAGGCCAAGTCTGCACTGTCTTGAAACCATCTTTTAAAAAAGTAGCCCTATTGAGATATAACTCATATACTATAAAATTAACCTTTTGAAAGTGAGTATTTACCTTGTTTTTAGTATACTCGTAGAGTTGTGCAACCATGATCACACTCTAATCACAAAATGTTTTTGTCACTCTAAAATGAAAATTTCCCTACTTATTAGCAGTCACTCTCCATGCTGCCTCCCTCCAGGGTTGGTGACCACTAATCAACTTTCTGTCTCTATAGATTTGCCTATTCCGGACTTTTCAAATAAATGAAGTCATACAATATATGACCTTTTGTATCTGCCTTCTTTTACTTAACATAATGTTTTTAATCTTTATCCTTTTTATTGCTGAGCAGTATTCCATTATAGGCATATACCACAATTTATTTATCCTTTCAATTGATAGACATCTGAGTTGTTGCCATTTTGTGACTATTATGAGGAATGTTACCATGAACACTTGTGTGCAGGTTTTTGTGTAGACACATGTTTTCGATTCTCTTGGGAATATACATAGGAGTGGAATTGCTGGGTTGATGGTAACTCTATGTTTAATATTTTGAGGAACTCCCAGAATGTTCTCCAAAGTAATTGCACCATTTTTATATTCCCACCAGCAATGTGTGAAGTTTCCAACACTGTTATTGTCTGTTTTTTTTAAAAAAATTTAATCATCTTAGTGAATATAAAGTGGTATCACATTGTGATTTTGATTTGCATTTCCCTGATGACTAGTGATGTTCAGAACTTTGTATGTACTTATTGGCTATTTGTATATCATCTTTGGAGAAATGTCTATTCATATCTTTTCCCCTTTTAAAAATAGAATTATTTGTTTATTGTTGAGTTGTAAGAGTTCTGCATATATTCTGTATATATTCTTCCATTCTGTGGATTGTCTTTTCACTTTCTTAATGGTGATTCCTTTGAAGCCCAAAAGTTCTTAATTATGATTAAGTCCAATTTATCTATTTTTTCTTTTGTCACTTGTGTCTTTGATGTCATATCCAAGAAGCCATTGCCTAATTCAAAGTCACAAATATTTACAACTAGTTTTTCTTCTAAGAATTTTATGGTTTTAGCTATTAGATTTAGATATATTTAGGTCTCAGATCCATTTTGAGTTAATGTTTGTATATTATGTAAGGTAGGGATCTAACTTCATTCTTTTGTATGTGGATCTTCAGTTATGTCAGAAACATTTGTTGAGAAGGCTATTCTTTCCCCATTGGATGGTCTTGGCACACTTGTCAAAAATCAATTGACCACAGATATATGGGCTTATTTTTGGACTCCCAATTCTGTTCTATAAATCTGTATATCTAAACTTATGATAATACAACACTGTCTTGATTACTGTAGGTCTGTAATAAGTTTTGAAATAGGAAAATATGAGTCTTCCAACTTTATTCTTCTTTTTCAAGATTGTTTTAGCTGTTCTGTGTCCCTTATATTTCCATGTGAATTTTAGGATAAACTTGTCAATTTTTTCCCCCAGAAAGCCAGCTGGACTGTTGATAGGGATTGCATTGAGTCTGTAGATAATTTGGGGGACTATTGATATCTTAACAATATTGAGTCTTCTGATCCATAAACATGGGATATTTTTCAATTTATAGAGGTCTCAGACCTTTTAAAATATAGATTCTGATTTAGACTGAAGCCAAAATCTGAATTTCTAAATAAGCTTTCAGGTAATGTGAGACCACACTCTTTTTTTTTAACATTTTTTATTGATTTATAATCATTTTACAATGTTGTGTCAAATTCCAGTGTTCAGCACAATTTTTCAGTCATTC